TTTTTTAATTCTTCGATTATCGTTTCACGGGACTCAATAACTCTTGAGGTGAGCATGGCACACTTGATTGTGTTTCCCTCTTCATCAATTTTTATTCGCGAAAGGGCATCGGCGACCAAGTTTTCCTTTCCCGGAGTATGTTTTATAATTAGGTTGAACTCTTGTAATTTTAAAGTCCAACGTATCAAGCGAGGCGATAAATTTTTTCCTGAATACAAGCGACCCACTGCCGCATGATCTGAGTAGACCGTTATCGGTGTGAACTTCCGAAGTAGACCCGAAACTTCTGAACTGCTAATAACACAGCGAGCGTTTCTCGCTCAGTAGCGGAATAGTTCCTTTGCGTAGCATTCAAGGTTTTCGAAAAGAAAGAAAGCTATAGGTTGCCCATTTTGGGAGAGCACCGCTCCAACTGCATAATCGGATGCATCCGCTGAAATTTCTAGACCTTGCTCGCCTTCTGGGAATTTAAGGACTGGGGCATTGATTAGGGCATTCTTTAATTGTTCAAACGCGGTGTTCGCTTCGGCTGTCCAAGAAAATCTACTTTTCTTTCTTTTAGCACTAGAAGAGGCTCAACTATTTTCGCAAAGTCTTTTATAAACATTCTATAATAGGAACATAAGCCCAAAAATGAAGACAATTTCTTAGCCGTATTTGGGGGAGGATAACTTTTAATTGACTTAATTTTTGAATCATCAGTCTCTATTCCCTTATTCGAGATTTTGTACCCGAGGTATCGTAATTCCTTTCGCCGCAAACTTGCATTTTCTTGCATTTATTTTGAAACCGGCCTCGTTAAGTAAAGGCAAAAACTTCTTCCAAATGTTTCAAATGTTCCTCTAATGTTTCGCTGGTAACTATGATATCGTCAAGATAAATTACTTGTACTTTTACCTAAAACTGGCTTTAAGACTATGTCCATAGCTTTTTGGAACGTAGCTGGCGCTCCGCTCAAACCAAAGGGCATTCTTAAAAAGGCATAGACGCCTGACTTTGTTATAAACGCGGTCTTCTGGACATCCTCCGGCTTCACGGCTATTTGAAAGTAACCCGACGTGAGGTCTAGGGTTGTCATAAATTTAGTCGAGCGAATGTTTCTGATGATTTCATCAATTATTGGTAGGGGATATGTGGGATATTTTGTTATACTGTTTAACTTACGATAATCAACTGCAAACCTATACGCGTCCGGGTGTTCAGGCGGTAGCCCGTTCTTTTTTCTACAAAGGACCACCGGACTTGCGTAAGGGCTCGTGCTTGGTACAATTATTTTATTCTTTAACATAGTTTTTATATGGGTTTCCAAAATTTCTTCTTTTACTTTATCGTACCGGTAAGGTTTTGACCGGACTGGAGGGGCATTCCCAGTGTCTATGGAATGACTAACTACCTGACAAAACCCAGGTTTTTCGTTAAACAAAGAATTAAATTTTCTTACCAATTCCTTCAATCTTCTTTTTCTCTTCTAACTTCAAATGTTCCAGATTCAATTCCGGCATGGAAACTTCACCTTCTTGTACCGGGTCCATGTGCACCTGAAACGTAGAATTTTGAAAATTAAGATTTGCGCCGGATGTGCGTAAAAAATCGATCCCCAATATCACTGATGTGAGTAAATTTTTCCCGACTAAAAATTTAATTTTTAGGACCTCGTTTTTAATCTGAACATGCAGTGCGGTTTTCCCCAAACATACGCACTGTTTGCCTTGGGCGGCAACTACATTCTGTCCCGTGGCTTTAAACAGTCTGTAACGACGAAAATGTTTTTTGAAAAATTTTCCGATAGGAATGAACATTGTGCCCCTGTGTCCAGGAGTGCAGTGGTTGGTACATTATTTACCAAAATCTGTATCTCCGGCATAGCAAGATTTTGTACTACGACTGTATTTAGACAAATTTCTGAGGGGTCTTCTGTCCTACTCGGTGACCGTTGCCCCTTCTCGATCACCGGTTTGCGTTTAAAGTCTGGTTACCTGCCGCCTCTTTTCGCTGATTTTTATATCCACCGCCCTTAGATTTATCTGCGCTCTTGCTATTAAACTTTTCACTTTTTCCCGTCTGCCGATATGCCTTGTACTGAACTTGTGGTTTCTTTTGGGGAGTAAATCTTGAGTACTGGCCAAACGGACTTGCACGCGCTTTCTCTGCGTTTCTTCTACTTTGAAATTTCATTGCAAGCTGGAACAGAATTTCCAACGTTTGCGGATTACGCACTTCGAGAAAATTTTGCGCTGACGGTAGAAGACGCGGTAGAATTAGTTCGATAATTTCTTTATCGGGCCTTTTCCCGTATAATAAATTAAAAATATGTACTTTTCTTAAAATGAACTCTGTCAAATCCTCGAAACCGCCTTGGTATTTACTATACAATTCTGATTCAAGCTTCGCACGATCTTTAACCACTGGAAATGCTTTTATTAATGCAGATTTGAAATTTTCCCAGTTATATGATTCAGATCCTGGGTCCCCCAACAAGAACTTTCCTATACTCTTCTGCCAGCTAAGGGCTTGACCTTTTAAGGCTGTCGTAGCGATGATCACTTTTTGTAGCTGATTCACAGGGTGTAAAGTGAAATGTAGGTATAGTTGCTCCGAAAATGTCAGGACTGAGCCCTTGCCATCGAAAGTGGCTGTCGGTTTCATGGCTGCGTGCAGCGTTTCCACGAGGAATCCAAACCCTTCTACCGGATTCGTGGATGTTGTAGGGACCTGAAAAGTCGGAGGGGTCAGCGTAAACTTCCCGTAACGTAAACGTAACTTTAACTTAAAATTTAACTGTTAATAAAATTAACATAATCCTTACAACACAATTACCTAACACATGGGTTCCCAACGGGATTCGTTTTGACCCCTAGGAGATCGATGGAATTTTAAAGAGCGTCAGTGATGAGTGTTTATGTCGCTAGCCGAATACAACGCGATAATTGATTGGCATACTTAAGATACCATTGATTACAAAAAAATTACTAATAGTTAGTTATAGTTCATTTATATAGAGGTACATCATAAAATAAGGAAGCAATCATACAAAATAAATAGAAGTGAAAAATATACTAAAATGTAAGAAGAGTCGATTGCATTGAAAGAAGAGGTTTAATTGCAAGTCGGTACTTTTCCGTTTTGCCGGCACAAACGATAAAGTCGCCAATAATGGTACAACCGATGTTAAACGGAATATCTTCGCTGGTAACCTTTTACGCTTCATTTTCAAAACAAGTAGCAGCCATTTCTTATCAGATTGATTGTTTCTTTCAATACTAGCATACAATTACATAGAAGTTTTACCCGGATAGTTCAATTTTATGCCCTAGGGCCATTCGCGGTAATTAAGTCAATTAGGATGCAATCACACCGCTCACCCGAAAGCGAAAATATAGAAAAGGCAAAGTCAAGCGTTAAATTCATGTATACTAATGAGAATGCACTAGCGAAGTAAAGCACTGCGGTTTTACAGAATTTCTGAGTAAGCTATTCGTACGAATTGAAATAATTCTTGCATTTAAACTTGTATTCCAAATTAAGATTTAACTTGAAATTAATGTAGATAATTACTGAGATAATTATATTTTTGTAGCGTAGTTTACGTGAGATGAGATCACTGTGGGTCACGTGATACGAACCGGCGAGTCAGGATGTTGAACCATGAAAGCATAGTAAATTCTTAAATTAATGTCTTTTTACAAATATTTTTTCTTTATTTATTGGCTATTTACAAAATTTTAAATCATATTAATATGTTTATGCCTTCAAAATAAAAAATTCTTAGAACTAAAATTTTTTATGTGTATAATGTATGCTGCCGCCAACAAAGTCTGCTTGGCGAGATTTGCGCCGGCGAAGCGGAAAAGTACCTGCAAGTCTTATACCCTAAATTTGGAACTTAAAATGCATCCAAGAGAAATATACGTAAATAAAAGTTGTTACTGGAGAAATAATATTGACCTTTCTCCCTTGTTACGTGTTTGAAGCAGGTTATAGTCAAGTCAATCATTTACTATGAAAAACAAGAATCAAATTGAACATATCTGAACGAGGTGATTAAGCAGTTTAATGTAAAATATTGTTACGTTATTTTCTTTCTTACTTCTGACACCAGTTGTTGCGTTATTTTTCTTCCTTCACGTTCGTGCGGGGTTCGTATGGATTTGGAGTGAATAATGACGACACTACTTGATGAAGTATCCAAACACACTTTATTAGCCTGTATTGTCAGGACAGCTCCAAAATACGTTTGCAGTTGTCGAAGATCTACTATACACCCGCTGGAACAATCAGCGACACAGCCTTCAGGCTATCACGGTGGAGACAGCTTCACTGCAAAGCACCAGAGTACCCTCTCCACCATGCCATCAGACTGCGGATGTAACGGGGTCGTCTGCGTTTTCTTGATTTCCAACAAGTCGCAGAGTCCCTTGAACACAGCCGAAGTGAAGTTCTTGCCTTGGTCGGAATGAATCTGGAGGGGGGTCCCAAATCTGGACACCCAATTCTGTAACAGAACTTCAGCTGTCGTGACAGCCTCTTGATCTGGAACTGGGTAAGCTTCGGGCCACTTCGTAAAGTAATCCATGACAACGAGGATGTATTTGTTGCCATCCGTGGTCCGAGGAAAAGGTCCAAGTATGTCGAGGGCAATTCGCTCGAAAGGCGCTCCTACATTGTATCGCTGCAGCCTTCCTCGGCTACGTCCCTTCGGTCCTTTCCTGGCTGCGCAAGCATCGCAAGATCGGCACCACTTCTCAACATCGTTTCTCGCCGAACTCCAGAAGAAGCGCTCTCGGACCTTGTTTAGTGTCTTCATACAGCCGAAATGCCCTCCCCTTGAGCTGCTGTGTATTTCCTTCAGAACATCAGGTATTCGGTTTCGAGGAAGCAGCAGCTGCCATCTCTTATTAGTTCCATCGTAACTTTCCCATAGTCGATATAAGACTCCATTTTGGAAGTGGAGTGAATCCCAGAGAGCCCAGTACCTTTTAGTTGCAGTACTGAAAATGAAAATGTCCTGCCACTTGGGTTTTGTACTGGATGATTCCTTCAGTTCTATTATTGGCCTAATGTCAGGATCCGCTGATTGGTCTTCTCTAACTTTTTCATCACTCCATGGATCTGGATCAGTTGATGTTGAAGATGTTACTTGCCGAATACTCGGATTCGCCAACCCGTACTTAGCCTCGGCTCTTGAACAATGGCTGCAGTGTGCAGGACAAGGTTTCCTGGATAAAGCATCCGCATTTCCGTGGGAGGGAGACTTTACGATGTTTTACCTATTCTAACTTTACGATGTTTTATCTCAAAGTCATATTCCTGGAGTCTTTGAATCCATGTGGCTATTTGTCCTAACAATATATTAAAAAACTTGCATAAATAAATCAAGCACAAATTATTAAAATCGAGCTTTAGTGCAATTTAAATCTCTTTAAGAGAAGTTTCTCTTCTAAAATTTTTCCTGAAAAATTGTTGATATTTATAAGCAAATACAAAACGCAATAAACTTTTTTTCCTAAAATTTGTTTTCATATTCTTAGTTAGTAATTGTTATTTGTAATTTTAAATGACTTTTACGCAGTTATTTTCCCAATAGATGCCGTTTAATGTGATCGCGGTTAATATTGTCATTTGGATATTGTTATTGAAGTGCTATTAAAATAGCCCGCCTGTTTGTATACTAAAATATGGAGAATATATCTCTTATTGCGATCAAGAGTTCTGTTAACATGATCAAAGTATTATAGAATAAAGTTGTGTAAACTGAAGTAAAGTCACCAAATAAGGTCAAAATAATTTGTAAAAATTGCCATGCAAATGGCATAAAGTAAGGGATAAAATCGCCAAACAGCTTGGTTTTTAACTAACCATTTAAATTAGGAAAAAAAAAATCTGTCGATTTTAAGGACTATCAGACATAGATCCTTCTTTTCAAGTAACGCGGGGGGGGAATCATTCCTGGAAAGAGAGGGGGATGTCCTGAAAATATCTACGTCAAAAGACGTTGCAATTTTGCCTAATTTTAAATTTCACATTTGCATGTTATCTTTCACTGAGGGATGCTCTTAGTGTATTAACTTTAGTAGTACAGGACTCGGTGAAATAACTTTCAGAAACATGATAAACAATTCATACTGTGTTTTTCATTCATTCGTGAACTTTTTCATTAAAAATTTTGTGAATAGTTCATAAATAAACTTTTGCATTTTCCCTTTTAAAGTGCTCTGAACGTAGCTATTTATATGTTTCTAGTTATATTAAATTAAATCAATTAAATTCCATTGCTATTTTGAAGGATATTTTTATCATCGTTTAATGTTATCAAAATAGCTGGGGAATGAAAATTTGTTTTTATCCTACAGGAAAAGATCCTTTTTCTTCCTGGAGCATTCCACCAACTGGCAAGAACTGCTCTAAATTTGACGACGATAATTTGTTAAACTTCAAATCTCCATTAGAGACTGCATGCAACAGAAAACTTAATTTTATTTGTGAACACGGTAAGTTCGAGAAATTTTCAATAAATGAAACCAATTTATGAAACAGAATTATTCTTAGACGTTAAAAAACGTTGTACCACACTGACTTTGGTCGACGCTTGCGCGACTTAAGTGATTTCTAACTTGTAATCAGCACATACTAGAGACGAAGTTGCAACTCTGAACTAGAAGTCTGCATCGTGATTTCCATAATAGAAGGGCTTTTCTTAAAATTTCCAGGGGTATCGCTTTCCATTCCTCTTCTACTACTTTCCACAGTCCATCCTTCGAAGTTGGTTTGCGCTTAGAAAAAACTTTTTTTACAGTAGTCCATAGGTGAAATATCAGGGAACTTCGCAGGAATACATCGAAAATTTATATATACCGTACCTGTATGAGTCTTCATTTTATCAAGGGATGCAGAGGTACTTTTCGATATATGACCTGTTGCTTTGTCTTCATGAAGTTTCACCCTTTGAAAATCATGGAATAAATAAATGGAATTTCTTCTGTAAATATCGGACGTAAAACGTTCCCGTGATAGAACGCTGAATTAATTTTCATGTTTCTTTTTTATTCTTGTTAATTTTGATTTAATATTCTAAGAAAATTCTGCGACAATCGTAAACCTCTGACTGAAACGTTTACTACATCGAAAATCCCTCAAAGCTCACAATGCATTATCATTTTTCTCCCGCTAAGGATTCCACAAATTGTTCTGCGTTGAGCCGCATGCCTTGGAAAAATTTGATGAACATGATGTAAGGATTTATGAACTTTAAATCTTGGTTTATTATTTTAGGTAATGCTGCTACAGATTTTACAAATGATTTCTATGTCAGCGGATTCTGTCTTGTTTCCAAGAATTAAACTTTAGAAGAATTAGAAAGAGTATGTACACTGCGGGGGGGGGGATGGGACAGTTTTTATATTTCCCTTTCTACTGGGCCAATTGACGAAATTCAAATTGCGTTTTTCATGTCTCGAAAGAGCAACTTATATATATATTAGATTTATATATAGCATTGTTCTAACATAGGTATTTTGACACAAAATCGGACTTTTTCTGAAATAACATACCCATTTTTTTCCATATTTCTACTCAAATTATGCCTGGATATTAAATTTTGTAAAATTTGCTGCGAAATTTACGGAGAAATTCAAAAATTTATCTTGACGCAATTTTTTCAGTTTGCGCCAAGAATAATTCACTTGGCGATATTCACTTTCTTAATACACTGACTACCAATAAGTATTTGGACACCTATGCAAATGACGATATCTGTGGTCCTAAGGTATATCACGGACTCCGCCGGTGTATATCGTGTAGAAAACAGCATCGGCTTTAGTCGCATGCAAGATGCCTCGCAGTTCGGAGCTCTCTGATTTCGAGAAAGGTATAATTATCGGGTATCACAAATGTGGCCGATCCTTAAGGGACATGTCTAGCGATCTGAAGTACCCAAAATCGACAGTGACCTATGTGATTAAGAAATGGAAGTTGAGCGGTAGCGGAATGTGCCCCGAGTCGGCAGACCAACGAAACTGAGAGATAGAGACCGACGAGTGCTGTCCAGAGAAATTCGGAAGAACCGCACCCAACCGATGGCCCTCATCCGCGAGGAGTTTCAACAGGCATCCGGGAGTATTGTTTCAATGAATACCATCCGTAAGGAAGCACATCTGCTTGGTTTTCATGGTCATGCTGCTGCCCATAAGTCTTTGATCACAAAGTCCAACCGCGCTGCTCGGTTAATGTGGTGCAAAGCACATCGAAATTGAACCGTAGATAATTAGAAACGGGTTCTTTGGAGTGACGAATCAAGGTTCACCCTTTACCGTTCGGATGGCAGGGTCTGGGTCTGGCTTCTACCTGGAGAACGTCTCCTGCCAGAATGCATTGTGCCAACAGTCAAGTTCGGCGGAGGTGGAATTATGGTCTGGGGGTGTTTCTCCTGGTATGGGCTGGGACCCTTGGTCCCCATTCCTGGTAAGCTCAACTCCGATGCCTACTGCACTATTTTGGATGACAATGTGCATCCTATGTTGTGGCAGTTTTACGGGTTGGACCCCTGTTACTTTCAGGACGACAATGCCAGTTGTCATGTTTCGACGTTAACCAAGGCTTGGTATGGTGCTAGTGGTGTTCATCGAATGGACTGGCCTGTCCAGAGTCCAGACCTGAACCCTATCGAGAACCTCTGGGACGAGTTGCATCGCCGAATTCGGGGGTGCACTACCCGTGCAAAATCGGTGAAGGAACTTCTATGTCTTCTCCAAGCCGAGTGGAAGAAAATACCACTAGCTGTCATACAAAGACTTGTGGAGAGTATGCCCCGGAGGGTCCATGCTGTAACTACCTCTCGTAGAGACTCTACCAACTATTGATTTTGAAAAAAGTTAGTTTTTCTTTTCTATTACAGGTGTCCAAATACTTATTGGTAGTCAGTGTATATGGCTACCAATTTTTTTTTCCCTTCCATTATGCCGGAGCGGAAAAAAAGGCACCTCTTTCCTACCTTTTTACATTGTGCAAGACTGGAAAATAAGTCAACATCGTTCCTACTTTCAAATAATTTTAACGAAGTGTCTAAGCCACATTTGATGTTTTATCGCTTTCAACATACATGCCAAATTTCAAAACTCGCCAATATATAAATTCACGTATATCTTAGAAAATTTTGAATAAAAAACTGTAATTTCTTGCAGGTGTGCTTAGAAATACGTCTACTTTAAGATGATGGTAAAATTTTTATAGATAATGATTAAAAATTTTTTAAACTTTATAAAAATTATTTTAAAATACAAATTTAAAAAAATAAATTTTAAAAAAATGGATGAATTTTATTTGGAATGAACCTGAATTTTGAAATGTGAAAGAAAGAATCAAATAAGTTTAATATAATAGAAGAGATTAACAAATATATACCAAACTCAATTAACATTGAAGAGCTAAAATTTTGAGAGCTAATTTTTTTTTAATTCTCTTGCGCAATTTTTACAAAACTGGTAGTTTGGCGTAATTTGAGTCGTATAATTGAAAAATGGAAAGATTTTGTGTCAAAATACCTACATTAGAACCATGCTGTATATAAATCTAATACATATCCTAAGTCACGCTTTCGAGAGATGAAAAACGCAAGTTGAATTTAGTCAATCGGCCCAGTAGAAAAGAGAGATATAAGAACTGTCTTTTTTTTTTGCGCAGTGTACCTTTTTCGGCTATTCGTTTAAAAACTTCTTTCCATGTAGCAGTAATGCTTGATGTTTTTTCGCTTTCTGATTCACAATGTTGCTCATTTCGCACTTAGGAATTTGAATGCGATGCATTTCACAACGTTTTTAGTTATGAAATAGGAATATTTCTCTTCAAAAAGTGCAAACACATTTGCTTATATTTACAGTGTGTTTGCAATGAGACATTTAGGAAGAAGAATGCATTTAAAAGTAGCATATGATCTTTCTCATTTTAAATAATGAGCTGATACTAGAAAATTTTTCTTTATTGAAATCTTTCTAAAATATGTATCAACCCCCTCTGTTTCACCTAGGTTACTTTAATTATACACAGTAAACGAAATGAAACCTGCAAACTTATTTAGGAATTAAAAAGGAAAACGATTTTAATAATAAAATTGTTTTCCCTTGCTATGTTGATAACGTTAACTGAAAAAAGTCAGCATATTTCGAGAGGCAAGTCTCTGATCTTCAGAAACAAAAAACTCTAGCAAACAAGAAGGAAATATAAAGAAAGGGAATATCAGTCTGAGGCTGTAAAGGCTGTGAAATTCCGATTTGAAAGAACGGTTTGTTGTTGAAGTAGAAATGTTCCTTTTTGGAAATCATTAAAAGACAATTCATGGAAGCTTTCATGAAGGGCTACATTATAACAGCAAGCTGTTTCGTATTTACGGAAAATCGGGAAGATGGAAAGAAAGCATGGAATTAAAAGTTCAGGATATCGATCACTGATTATAGGACAAACTAATAATATTCCGAGCTTTTAACTCAGATAAAGAAAAGAGGGGAAGAAAGGTCATGATTTTAACCTGGTGCCGCTGGCATGTTTTGATTTGGCCTAGAACCCGACTGGACTGGATTATTTGATAACAGGAAATCATACCAAGTCTGTTCTTGGCTTAGAACAGAACCTAAAACTTTAAACTCTGCAGACTATTCTTTCAATGCGATATCGAAACCACCGACTGAGCTATTAATTTCCGTTTGAACATGACCGTGTATCCTTACACCGGAGATTATTTTGATAAAAGGTTGGCCTATACTTTGTTCCTTACGAAAATTTTTATAGAGGCTGTTAGATCTATATAGATATTGCTATAGAACTTTATATTGATCCTCTGTAGAAATACTTCTCTATAAAATTCTTCAGCGGTTTTATAAATATTTTATGGAACAGAATTCTGTTGAAATGTTGCTTTGCAAAATCATATAGAAATTTCATAAAGCTTTTAAAGAAATATAAAAAGTTTTTTAATGTAATCAAAGGAAATTCTGATCATTATATAATGAGGTACTTTCTTCCTCCTTCCAGTATGCCTTCGTGGTGTAACGGCAGCACACGCGGCGCGTACTCGAGAGGTCCAGGTTCAAGTCCTGACGAGGACATGTCATATTTTTCACATCTCCTGCTTCAAAGTAACTTAATTACTCTACAATATGAGATGCGGAAGAGCAAACACAGACCCCTTTTGTGCATAAGTGCATTTAATACCTTTTTAATTGAAATTTTTTATCTCTAGCTTTATCTTTTTTATCTCTAGCTTAACATTTCTTACCGTCTAAATTTATGTAACATTTCATGAAATCTTTTGTATAGTATTGATTATATGATACAAAATTTAAATCTTTTAAAAGCGCAAAATCAATTTAAATTAAATAAAATATTATATTTATGGTGTTAATTATAAAATTTTAATTCAAAACATTAATGCTTTTAATTATGGCAAATGTACTCATAAGAGAAATATGGTTTCTAAATTTAAATTAAACTTTTAAATATT